TATGAACTTTAGGCAGCACATATAAATAATTCATGGATTAGCAAATAAAGAGATCTGGAATCTGTACACAGAGATGGCTGTTGCCAATTATCTCACTTGTGCAGAGCCAGACCTCTCAGCTCCCATTGCTTGCAGCTGCTCTTTTAAATCATTCATCAGCGCTTAAGAGATATGCTGGTGGCACTGGCAGAGAGTATTTGAATTTTCATTGTTTACACACTGTGAATTTAGCTTCTGGTCTGAAATTATCTGCCACATTGAAGCCTTTGAGAATATGGATGAGAAGAATAAGACAATTCCTCTTTTTTTTTTTCCATTTTTAAACACTATTATAACTTTGATTACCTTTTTATTTCCCCCAATTTTACTTCGTATTCTTTTTATAATCACTAATTTAATTTTAAAGTTGCAACTGATATAATTCCCTGTGCTGTTTAGATCATGAAAACATCAGGAATACTATGAAATATTCTCTTGAAAGTATTACTAAATAAATGTTGAGTAAACATTTTGCTCAAAGTTGTATGATTTTCTGGTATCATTCTGGAAATCTATAACAACTAAATATCTAGAGTTGCTTCTTTCTGATAGTGTTTATGCAGAACCCTTTCAGAAATAATAATGAAAGCTGCATAAAAAATTGATGACAAGTCATGGCCGATGCTTTTTCTTGTCAGATTACTGAGGCATTGAGTTTCTCTGCACTTTCAGATCACGGCGGGTAGAACTTCTTTGATGATAGATTTGCCCATGTCATTATAGTGATATGGCCTAATTATGACAGTAACGTTTTAAAAGTCAAAGGCTTTATAATAAAGCCAGACTTCTACCTGCATTAATTGAAAATCTCATTCCTGTACATGGGTTTATGCAACATTATTAACTATGCACCTACCTGGGAGTGTATAGAGTATGCCTCTACACACAGAAATTCTCCTGTCAATAGTTTTGGCCCTTTCTCTTAAGCTATAAATAATGCTGCAACATTAAAACATCTCAACATACTGGAGTTAGCTGGTGCAATGCTGGAGCTGAGGATAGGGGAGCAGAGCCTGCAAGCCCTACTTCTGCAGCCAGGGCTGGGGGAAGAAATCTAACAGCATCATCATCCCCTCATCGTCTAGGAAAGTGGCCTACCCATGATTTTGGGAAGAGTCACCCAGGTTATGGGAAGTGTGCGGGGTCTCTCTTACCTTTTCACACTGGGGGCAAAGCAGTATCTGCTTTACATCCTTAAAGTGGAGCACTTTGTGGTTTATTCTGCAAGAAGCACAAGCAAATGCTTAAGCCCAACCTCCAACCTGCACCTGATGCTCATATGCACTCAGGACCTCTGTAAGCAAGAGACAGAACATTTGCAAAGTTTCCAAGGGGGACATGGGCACTCATCAGTGCTGATTAAAGATCAGAAGCAGCAGAATGTGCCAGGGCTCAGGAGTCCCAATCAAAACCTGTTTGGAAGGGCTCTGGAGAGAGGAGACACGGAGCAGGGGATGTCCTCACTCTGCTTCTGTCAGCTCCCAGCAGTTCATGAAACAAATTAGGTTTCACTCTGAGATCCGCAAATGACAGTGGATGGCATTTACCAGATGGCATGTGTAATGGGACTGTCACACCGTTATAGGTTTAAAAATAAAGTATTGGAGGCAGCTAATGAGTATACACTTCCTAATCTCAAGAATTTAGTTCTATGCCCGTCAGGTGTTAGGCACTCATCTTGTGAGTGTGGGAAGATTTCCAGTGTGTGTGTACTAGAAGACATGTAATTAGGCTATTTCACTTTTAAAATTGGCATTGAAATAAGCAATTTACATAATTTCTAAAAAAGTGATTTCTCTTCTTAATGACTTCCAATGTAGTTACAAGTGAAATGCATTGTTTAGCTAGAATGTCATCATTTAATAATGATGAATATTTAATATGGGGACTGATCTTTCTCACAGACCTGCTTCTCCTCTGTACATTTCTGTCTTTACCATTTTTCATCATTTGTTGAAAAACAATATTCAAGCAACTCAGAAGTCTACATTTTCAAAGATACTGACGGATATTTTAAAATATTTTTATTTGAATTACCTCAAACTGAATCCCTTTCAGTATGGGCCTTGCTTTAAAATATTGGTTTGGGGAGGTGACAGTAAGACAGTGGGAGACTAATGAAACAAAATATATAATACATGGAATTTTCTAAACTGCATACTGGCTGTTTTCTTTATTGGTTTCTCACAGTTTTTCCAGTGCCAACACAAAACCAAAAAAAAGAAATTAGGAAGTAAAAGGATTATATGCACTATGTTTCTCTATTTATCTCTTTCTTTTTGTCAGGCATTTTTGTGTTAATTGAAGGACTGCTCTAGCTCCAGCTGAAGTCATTTGGGAGGACTCCTTTTATTTTCAGTGATGATTTTATCATGCCCATGATGAATTGTTTATTAGGTTTGTTGTTTTTCCAGCAGACTGGCTTTTGGGACTGCAGGGAAAAGGCAGGGCAGATTTATAAATAAATATGGTCAGCACATCAATGTATATCAGTAGTAGAAAGGTAAATTCAGCTAAATCCTGGTGAGTAAAAAACCATGTTTTTCCTCTGTGCATTATACTCAGCTGCATTCTTAGAAAACAGTGCAAACAAAGGCATGATTATTTGTGAAGAAAACTCTCATTTACTAGGAAACAAAAGTCAGGCTGCCATATCAGTCAGCTTATTTATAATTAAAACCTTTTTCTGCCTCTTCTGTGCATAGGAAGGTCTACATTAAACACACTTGATTGTATGCAATGGGCTGTGGTTTCTTGGCAGCGTGGGGAAAACCACTGACACCATTATACCACCCTAAGGTCTTCCTTGCTCTCAAGAACTTATTTCACTTACCAAACTGGAATGGACGGCTCACAGTAACCCGGTTTTGGTGCCATTTGTGTGCACACTATCAGTTCTAGCATTTCATGGGCTTTTTCCCAGCCACTCCTACACAGATTGCTGCTGCACAACTGGTGATCGTGCAGGATTTGTTTAGACTGAAGGACTCAAAACAGCTCAAAGTGGCTTGAATCTCTGTGAAAATCAAGCCTCTTTAAGTTGTCTTAATTTTGATGCTTAAAAAAAAAGTTTTTTTTGGTATTCAATGTAGTTCAATGGCAGGTTTCTTCTGCCTGCCAGCAGTGTGCCACCAGACTGTCTGAGCCCGAGAAAGCAGGAAACTCAGTTTTTGACAACCTTTTATCTGTGGGTCTTCCGTACAGAGGGTTCCAAATTTTGCCATCCCCACCATCTGTCATCACATAGTAAATTTGAATTGAAAATACATTATCTACAAAAAAGAAGACCTGCCACAAAGACTGTTGAGACCACACCTCAAATACTGAGTTCAGTTTTGGGCCCCTCACTCCAAAAAAGACATTGAGATGCTGAGACAGGTCCAGAAAAGGGCAGCAGAACTGGTGAAGGGTTTAGAGAACACGCCTGTGAGGAGTGCCTGAGAGAAACTGGGAGTTTAGCCTGGAGAAGAAGCTATGGGGAGCCCTTCTCACTCTACAACTGCCTGAAAGGAGATCACAGCGAAGTTGGGTCGGTCTCTTCTCCCAAGTAACAAGTGAAAGGACAAGAGGAAATGTCCTCAAGCTGCACCGGGGAAGCTGTAGGTTGAACATCAGGAAAAATTTCTTCACTGAAAGTGTTATCGAGTATTGGAACAGGCTGCCCAGGAGTCACCATCCTTGGGGGTATTTAAAAGATGTGTGGATGTGGAGCTTAGGGACATGGTTTAGTGGTGACCTTGGCAGTATTAGGTTAATCGTTAAACTCTATGGTCTTGAAGGTCTTTTCCGACCTAAATGATTGTGTGAGGGTGTGTTTCTATGATCTTCACCCACACACTTGGCAGTATTAGGTTAATTGTTAAACTCTTATGGTCTTGAAGGTCTTTTCTGACCTAAATGATTGTGTGAGGGTGTGTTTCTATGATCTTCACCCACACAAGGCAGAGGAGCCCTCTGGCCCTGCTATTGGGATCTTTCTGGGTGTACAGATGCTCTTTTGCCAGCTGCTCATGCTTGCTGCTGCTGCATCACATTACATTATAGATAAAGGGAAGAAAAGTAAGATAACCACTGGTTCTGAAGTTCAGAATTAACTGCTTGAGCATTGTAGTGACTCTTCTAACTCCACCTGCCTAAGCAGTATTGTCATATTCATTGGAAAAGCTACAAACAGGTGTAATTGTAACATATGATCTGCTCTACTGGCTCAGACTGAAGCTCATCTTGGCCCAGCAACCCATCTCTAAGAGTAGTCAACAGATGATAATTGAAAAATAGAGAAAGAAGCTGCCAACTACAACATTAACCTAATCCCACATACCATACCGTTTTCCGATCAGTCTCCATGAGTTTCAGAACAAGAAGTTGAATCCAGACCACTCTGCTGATGCTGTAGCACCCTACGGCATCCTGTGCTGAAGACTGCAGCATCCTAAAGACTGGAGCATCCTATTACAGTCTATGAATTCTGTGGTTCATTTGTGTACTGCATGATAATCCTTTTTGTATAGTGCTAACTAATTTCAATACCTAAATGCTGCATTTTATGACAGAATATGCCTTAAAAAAAAAAAAAAATAATTGCAAAACAGCAACAGTTATCCACAGCATACAAAATGTAAGTGCTTTGCGCTGTGATGTTTGGGTGTCATTAGAATAATTTTAAAAGCAAGTGATTTAATTGTGTTTGTGCCAATTCTCATGTTTACAAATTAGGGAAGGATGCATGTAGTGATCCATTGGGAAAGGGCTTTGAAACCTCACACGTCTTTGAGTCTACAGTATTGTCATTTATTCATAACACTCTTTTTAATACCAGGGTGATTTTCTTTTTAGATTACTCTTGCATGGAAAGTGAGTCTCAGGAGTCTTCAGCACTGTGGAATTCAAAGCCAGGTTCATGTGCATCTGTGTGTGCTTCAATAGATGTTTAACAGAATTCTTTTCTCCTTCTTTTCAAGGTCCCCGAGTCCCGATGGTGACTGTTCACAACACAACTAATGCACAGAGTAAGAATGGACTTGAGCCTTTGAGTTCTTCAGAGAAAATCAGCCAGGCAGGACACAGAGATGTACCTGCACTTTGGTAAACTTAGGCCATGGGGAAGCACAGACTCTGCCTAAATGCAAGTCTTCTGCAAGTCAGAGGAACCTGCAGAGCTGTTGTGCTGCCATCACAAAAGCCTGCTGTTTAGGTTATGAAGGCAATGGTTTGGGCATGATGTTTGTTATCAACTTCCTTAAAAGATGCACAGTCCAGATCTCTCTTTTTGGTAGTCTTTCATAAAATTTCTGTCCTACCCAAAAATAAATAGTTTAGCTTAACCTATGATTTAAAAAAAAAATAAGAAATCACTTTGATGTGGATTACCAGGATGAAAGAGATGACACAGAGGTGTCAACTGCCCTGCAAGTTGTACCTCTGCCTGGTTTCCTGATCTGTTCGTGGGGATTGTAGCACTTACCATTTGATAAGGCTTTTTCATGCTCATGGTTCACATCTCCAAGAACACGAAGCTTGAATTTTTCCAAATAGAGGGTTTTTCCCTCCAAATCTGTGGTACTGGCTGTAGGCATTGCCACCCTGGTTAGGACTCCCTGTAGAGCCCAGAGAGCCATGAGTTTTTTAGGATTCCTCCTTCACACATGTAGCAGTACAAATTATCCAGAAAAATCAGGTTTTTACCTCAAGTCAGCATAGCAGGACGCCTCCAATAGCCTTCCTCTGTCCTTTCTGTACATTCTAGTAAACCAAATGGCCCCTTTCTCTCTTTACTGGGTCTCAGGAAACTCCACAGCAGGATGTGGGATGGAGTCTTATGTGAAACCAAGATTCATCTACTCCTGTCACTTTGATGGTAGACCCCCATATTTCATTTTAATGTAGAGTTTAACCCAGCCTTCACCTGCAGTTAGAGACTTCAGGCATTACTAGGATCCAAATAACAAGCAAGCTTTATTTTAGCTGCTCTGTACACGGCCAGTTTATCAGGTATCAGTTTAGCTTAACTGGATTTACAGCAACTCACTGCTCTTGTCTCTGCAAAGGAGCAAAGCAAATCAAACAATCTGGCTCTCAGACTAAATGTTCTGTGTGAAACACTGAGCTGCTTCATTTCCCACTGAAGGCAGTGTCAGAGGAAAGACTCCTGTGACACCAGGACATGTGAGAAAAAAGCACAGGATTCATCTTGCTTTATACAGTTTCTGTGTTCCCTGTTTTATTCCCTGTTTTCTCAGTTTCTGTTGGCAACGAGCATTTCCAGCCCTTACGCCACCTAGGAAAGTTTTACTTGTAAGCAGGATATGTAGCCTGCAATCCCAAATTCTGACCAAATTTTTTTTCAATCAAATTTAAGTCAGATATGTGCCATATTGTATCCTTTGCCATTAAAACAGAAATACTCAATAGCATTCCATCTAGTGTCAACAGTGTTCAATATTGGCAATGACATGTATTGTACATTTAGCTCTAATTTATATCATAATTTTCCATATATTTTTTTCCAGTTAAAATCTTCCTTTGCAGAGAAAGACAGACATAAAATTTAGCAGCCTCCTGGAATAAATATTAGGTTAAAGCAATATACTGCTGCATGGCTGGCCTGTAAAGGCAGCAAGAGAGATCTTTGCTGCCAAAGCAAAGCAGCACAAAGTACCCTGGGCCATGGCTTAGACCATCTGCAATCATCTTGCTTACAGGGTGACCATGAGAGAAATATTTCATTTCCCTGTAACTCAGTTTCTCCACTGGTCTATAATTTCTGGATAAAAGTGCTCTGATGGCAAACTGACAGGTCTTGCTTCCCAGAGGAAGGTTCACAGTGGAGCCAGGGTTATTGCTGCTGGCAGTAGTGGCCATGGGCTACAGCTCCATGTGCCACTCTGGTCCCTTGTGAAACTACTTCTCATATAAATATGCAAAAATTGGCACTTGTAGCTATTCTGGTCTACACAAACAAAAACGTTGCCTTTTTAAGTAATACTGAAAACAAATTGCCAGCTCCTAGTTTATCAGTCCTTCTGCCCCAGTGACCATGGACATGTCAGCCTGTGCACAAGGGTGTATCAGCTCTTCTGCTTCCCAGCAGAGACCTGGGCTTGGCAGAGCCCTACCCAGAGCAGCCCTGGTGATGCCCACAGGGTTCTTCAGCCCACAGAGGATGTTGCCATAGGGCCAGGGGAGTTTCTTACCTCTGACCTGCAGCTCCAAAGCCACTTTCTTTTTTTTCCCCAACTTAAACAAACAACTTAAACACCCTGCCTTAATTTTACCATAGACATGGAGAAGGCTGACTGGCTATAACAGCACGTACAGGATGGTGCTCTCATGAACTGTGCTATAGACTCCTGTAGAGTTTTCCAAAATACTTTTAGATCATTTGGATTTTTTTTTTTTAATTTTTTTTTAGAATTTTAGAATGAGAGGTACTATAAAACAGAGACAGCAAGTGAAGGGCTTGGAAAAGTAGCATAAAACACACCAATACTAGTTTTATTTTTACAGACACACACATGTAGCATTTATTACATAGAGAACTCGATCTAGGCACGCACAGAACATATTAACATTTCCCCTGGTTCCTTTTTTTCCCCCCTGCTGATTCTTTTGCTTTTGAATAAAGGGCAACTGACAGTTGCATGTTACTGAATTTACTTATTTAATATGAGCCCATTATTCTATAAAGGGAGTTTGCCTCTATATTCTGCAATAATCTGATAATAGTGAGTTGCACTGAATATTATAGCGTGCTTACATTTAATTAAGCAATGACCATTTGTACTCCACAGACTCAAGCTCCCTGTGGTCCTAAAGCAGAAAAGAAAGTCCTCTAGGAGATATGCCAATCTTTTTTTATTTCCTCCACAGTCTTCCTGGCTTTCTGTGAATGCAATTATATGAACAAATAAAACGGCTTGACTAAATTCCCCTACGTGGCAAGCCCCTTTCTGCTGATAAAGCTACTTGTGTGTGCCATAATTAAATGAGAATCTTAATATTTAACTAAATGTAATAGGCTGTTGCTTTGGCACTTTTGTGAGGGTTGTGGTTTCAATAGAGATGAGCCTGGCTTTTCACAAGCAGGGTGAATAATCATTGAACCAATATACTATTGCTGAAAGATCTCTGAAATGTATTAACTTGGAAGAGAATGTTTTTGTGCTGTGCCTGCCTATTCAGCAGAGATGGGCAACGAGACCATGATAATCAGGTACCATAAGTATTATTTGAGTTTCTGCAGCTACACATCTATTTATCAGCATGTCTGGAAAGGGAAGACACAGTCAATGAAACACATAATTTGATGTGAAGCCCCAAACCCTTCTTGGGTTCACATGGCAGAGTTAATGCCCTGGATCCCCTCAGTTCAAACCCAGCCTGATGCCATGGGGACAAGCACTCAAACAGGCTCACCAGACCAGGATTCGGTGCCACCACAGTGGGATCCCCCCAGCCCTTGAATCTCTCCCCCACGGGGCTCAGGAGCCTCACCATCACCAGGAGACATTACCCACCACCTAGGAGATACAACCTGAAATGTCTCCTAAAGATGGGCCCTTTCCTCACCAGCTGGGAAGGACTTGCTGTTTCTGAGGGTGGAAGTGGCTGCTTTTTCTAGAAGACATTCAGTGGTTAGAGCACATGGCCAAGACGTGGGGAATAAAGGTTAAATCCGGGAAGGAGGAAGGAATCCTTGGTTTCAGTCCCAGAGAGCCCTTTGGTAGGATACACAAGCAAAGGGAACAACTCTTGAAACACTCTGAAAGCCACGACTGCTCCAAAACCTGACACTGCAGGGTTGTGCAGCATTGGTCCGTTCTTCTTTCCCTGTGGCTTTCTTTCTCATGGATTTTCTCTTGTGTAGCAGCACAACCTTGTCCTGAAGCCCTCCATAGACTCCTCCCTTTCCCCATTTGTTCTGTGTAACTTGGGCACAGACCCGAGGATTTTGTGTGAAATCTTGCTCTGTGTGGTAGGCAGATGTTTGACTGGGACCCATAGCACTCCCTCAGTAGAGACCTTCCCATTTGCTGTAAATCAGCTGAATGTCACTGATTTGAGGAATATGGCTTGTTGTCAATGCAGAACCTGGAAGGGCTTTCAAACTCTTAACTGAATTAGACATCTGTGAGGACTAGAAGGAAATTCTGTCATTCTCTCAAGGAAATGTGTTGCAAATATTAAAGCGAGTATAAAATGTTGAAATGCTTTTTCACAAACAATACCAAAAGTTTTTGTGATGATGTCCTTCTTTCAGAAATTTTTGAGCTGGAGGTAAATGAAAATGTGCAGCTGGCTGTAAATGACAGGCAAATGCCTAAGGTAGAATACACGGAAATCAAGATAGATGATTACAGTAAGTAGCACCTTTCCTCTCTCTTATTTTTCTTGTTCCTTTTTGCTGCTATTGCTGTGAAATGATACAGTCATCTTGGCTAGACTGGCAGGAGGAAAAATTACTTTGGTTCTCAATAAACTCACACAGTTTGCAAAGCACTCTCTTAGGATGTGCTACATAAGGAGGTTATTACAGAGACAGGATTTGATGAGAATGCAACTGAAGAGAGGAAAAAATGATAGGGTTGGGGTTTTTCTTCCTTTTAAAATTTTCTTTGTCAAGAAGCAGCCACTCTGGGAAATGACATGGTGTGATGCCCCTGTTGTTCAAGGCATTTGCCTTTGCAGATGGGTTTGAAGTGGGAACTGTATGTGCTTGCTGGCTACAGCTGTGGCTACCTTTCCCTATACAATAGTGAACTGCAGTGGGTGAAGACAACTCACCAATGACTGCCCATCAGAGTTATTCAGAATTCTTTCAGAAAGCCTTATTGTTTGATAGGGTTGAAGAAAAAACAGCTTTATGAGAAAAGTCTAAAGAGATTTCACCTGGACTGAAGAAGGCAGAAACTTGGAGCAGTTTATGTCTACAGCTGGTGGATTATGTGTTTCACTTGTATAATCATTCCCCACATGTCTATATGCCAAAATAAGAGAGAAAAGCCCAGTGGCAAACAGCCAGAACACAAGTATTTTCTGCCTGTCTCTGTAGAGTACCTGAAACAACCTAAAAAGCATCTCCTTTGGCTGTAAGCAGGGATGTTACCTGTACGTGGAAAATCCAGAGTCATGCAATGGCTCCCAAAAATCCCAATTTATGTGGATAGCGGCAACACTAAAAAAAACCAAAGAACTTGGGTTTAATGTATGACCCACAATATTTCACATGCCAAAAAGGAACGTACCTCTCAGACGGGATGCATTGAAATAAAAGCAGTGAGGTGTGATGGACGGCAGGTTGCTAATGTCAACCGTTACCCAGTGTTATAAAATGGGAAGCAAAGGCTGAGAGACAGATGCCATTTGCGAAGGATCATAATGGCCCTAAAATGTTCTGCTTGCCACATGGGCTTTAGGAACATAAACCAGTGCATGAAATAAGAACAGATGTGCATTTCCAGGCCTCGTGGGCAGGAAAAGTTGGGAAAAGAGCCTGTCATAAAGATTACCTCTATCTCCACCGTGAGACAGCTCAAGTGGCACTAGCTTATTAGGAATAACTCAGCTTGATGCTAAATTCTTTTTTTTTAACTGTAGGTGTAACTTAAATGCTATTCTGGTCATTTAACCTAAAATATATATGTGTGTGTAATAAATACAAGCTGGCTGCAGCTGTTTGGCCATCCTGTGCCTTTCCTGTATTTTCAAAGCTCTTGGCTTAGCAGCCTTGGGAACACTGCACATAGAGCTTAGTTATATTTAAAGTCAAGTGATGGCCTTTTTGGCTGTCCCTGGACCATTGATCCAATTTGCAGCTATTAGCATTCAGATGGAATAACTAATTAGGTGGAGTCTCAGACAATAATTGCAAAGCAAACCACTTAAACCACGCAGTTAATCTGTGTATTAATCTACTGAAAACGCTCCTAATACCGATTTAATTGCCAGGTCTTTGCTAATCTGGATTGTAGTTAACATTTTCAAAATAAATGTGCTCTTGTTAGTGCAGAAAGCATTTGTATGGCAGTGGGTTTGGATAGCAATACGAAGCCATAGGAAGCAGTTAAATGAAGCTTTGGAGAGCACATCCCTCACTTACCAGTATAATACCAGTATAGCAGCGTGGGCTTCAGCATAGTTGCCTCTTGTTTTACAGCAAAATTAAGCCCTCTGGAAGTTAGGATTAAAATACATTTCTCTATCTGCCTTCACACTGTTATAGCAAAATAATCCTATTCTCTCCCCCAGTCACCATACTTAATTAGGTTTTAAATTATCATTTTCATCACCAATTTTCCCCTTCCTCGTCTGCCCTGAAATATTGATTTCTGGCTGCATCAGTCATCCAGCTGCCAAAAAGTAAAATTATAGCTGTTGCCAGATGTTAATTGAATGCTGTAAAAGTGATGCATGACTGCACCGCTCACACTGTACTCCTGATTTACATTTCTTGTCACCTCGGATAGCATAATATGGGTCTTTTCTTTGACAACATCTGTGTCCCTAAGATATTATTTACCAGTGCCGCTGATGAAATACTATTTTGTTCCTGCTCATAAGTGGCCAAAATGCCAGAAAAATCTATTAGAGTTATGTCAGTGTTCCCACACTGAAGGCATGTAATTTGTTTCTTTGGTTTTTTTTTCCCCAGAATTGCCAATGCAGATCTTAAAGCCAGCAACCTTTTCAGATGCTGCACACTACCCCCTGCTCTTGGTTGTGTAAGTTCTCACTCCTCTTTTCTTTCTTTACATTATTAGGGCAACATGGACATCTCAGCCATGGTCAGAGCCTCCTAGAGATATGTTTTATACAACAAATGCCAGACCACTTTAGCACCTAAGTCCAGCACGCTGGTCCCTATCCCCTGTATCATCTCAGAGCTAGAAGAGGCTAGACAAATCCCTTCTCTCCCATATTTGAGCCAAGGTTTTCAGTTCCCAGGATGATCTGCAGAGTAAATTTCACAATTTTATAAAATTATTCCACAAACACTCACAGTTCAATAATCTGGAGGGTAGAAACGGGATGGAGAGGAATAAAAGACTGATGTTGACTTTCTGTTCCAGTGCTCCGGGCACTCAGCCTGCCCTTAACAGGTAGAGTGGGATGTAATCAGTTTTACTAGAGCTTTAATTTTCAGACACCCTCATGCAGCAATCCTTCCCATAGAGATACTGTGTTCCCTGTAGTGACAATAAAGAGAGAGGTAGAAACCTTTGAAGATCTTTATGATGTTAGTATTTATATCAGGTGGGTAGGATTCCCTCCTGGCAGGCATAGCAAGTGAGTATTTCTTTATGCAACTTTTAGTAATAATATACATTACTAAGATTTTTTCTGGCAATGTGGAAAGACGCTGAGGGAGGGAAGTCACTGACCTTGGAAGAACCTTTTTGGCCCTGGCTGTGTCCCCCTGCATCGTTTGCTCCCTGCCAGGGAACACCCCACAAGAGAGAAGCCACACGCGGAAGTGGTGCGTGTCTGATGAATGCCTGAACACCACCCTGCACATGCCTCCATGAAGGACAAAAGCACTGCAATAAGCATGTCGTTACATCACAAAATTACTGCAGAGAAAATGTACTTCATTATACAAGTGCTTGAGGAAGATTGGTACTCATCAAGCTAACAGCACTTGATTAGGCTGCCTCTGAAGCTGGATGTGCCTGGGTCTCGCTTGGATAAGTGCCAATGGCTGGATTCACGTGCACATTAAAATCCTGCAGTGAGTTGCCTCATGTTTCCAAGAACCCCAAAAAGGACAAGAAGTAGATGTGGAAGTGCCGGTGGCTTGGCAGTAATCCCAGTCCTAAAATATTACTTCGAATCATTGTCATCATCTCTTGATTTTTCTAAGCTGTTTGGCTGAAGTGGGGTCCATATTTCTTGAGACGTTTCTCCTGTACAGGATCAAGCCCTAAGCAAAAGGAAGAGGAGGGAATCTTGCCTACCTTTCCCACCAATTTTGGGCCAGCCTGGGCACTTTTAAGCTGTTAGTTCTATCTCTTTAAAACTCTCCTTTCCCTTTGTGCTTGTGTGAACTAGTGGTGCCAGAAGTGACTGGCAGATCCATCAAGAGCCCTGTGGGAGAGGGAAGGTCTGGGCTGGGTGAATGAGGGCAGTAAATGAAACTCCAGTGCTTGCCATAAAGGAAAGGATAGCTGATGTCTGCAAACTTCATCCAACATATTTTGGAAGGGCCAGCACACCCCAAAACCAGGCTTCTTGCAGGAATCCCTCCACCAGAAAAAATACCATCTTTGGGGAACATAGAAAATAGGTACAGATTAGAGAAGGTGTGAGAAGAGAAAACTCGACTGACCTCTGCTTGGTTGACTCACAAGAGGAACCTGCCCAGTTAGTGATACCCTCACTAGTTTTGATCAAAGCTCATCTTAGCACAGCAATAGTTGCTGTGCAGAGGAGGGAGGTAGAGACCAACCTGCAGCTTCCACCCTAGCCTCAAAACCCATCCCACACAACCAGCATTCTGTGGATCATTGTTGCAGAGGTGGTCACCCCTTCTTGAAATCTGCCCTGCCTGTGGATCCATGTGGGAGCTGATGACCCCTGTAGCCATGGCGAGCCTGTGGACCCAAGGAGGGTGTTTGGCTCGTTTTTGGTGCCGTTGCCTTTAGCTTGATGCCTATTTCTGTTTCAGTGACGGGACCCCTGGCAGCCAGATCGTGACAGAGAGGTTTGAGGTGACGTGGGAGAGCGTCATGGTCAGCTCTCACAATGCCATCGTGCTCAAGTTCGACGGCCGTGGGAGCGGCTTCCAAGGCACTAAGCTGTTGCATGAGGTCAGGAGGAGGCTGGGCTTTCTGGAAGAGAAGGATCAGTTGGATGCTGTCCGGTGAGTGACACTGTTATTAAACTAATTCGTTCATAAATGATAATTAACCCAAGACCGTCATTAGACCTGGTTGCTTTAGTGGTATGTGGGGTAGGGCAAGGAGATGGGAGGGAAGGACAGTGTAGCCATACAGCTGTGACCAAGTGATGGCATGTGAGAGAGGGCTTGTGCCAACCAGCACAGAGGGAGAAAAACAAGCCTTAAACAGAGCTAAATTAGAGCATACTTATCTGTACCACGTGCTCAGAAGCCTATTTAATTTTAGCTCTGTACAGTCACACAGCTAAACAAGTAAGCTTGAGTATCAGCTCCTACATTAGTTTTTTTGCTAGCTTGGTAGATGGAAAAAATCCATCTTTAAACCTCTAAACTTTTTAAGAGAGAAAAAAAATTGGAAAAACCCTACATGTCAAATCCTGTCATATTGTTAGATTTATTCTGCACATAATCACACTAGAACCACTATCAGAGTAGTGCAATAACATCAGCTTTGTTATGATTTTCAAAGGTAGTGGAGGTTATTTGTTGCCATTGCTTCGCCAAATCCAACACATCAGGTTGCAGGATTGAATCAGAGTCTCATGTGAAAGCAACATGGGGCAGCATGGATTTAGATTGTCTACATCATTTTTCTGCAGCCACCCCAAATTCAAGCTGATAAACCTCACACTGTTTGTTATATTGAAGAGAAAAATTTTTAACCCATTGTTTCTCCTCTCTCATGTTCTAGGACGATGCTGAAGGAGCATTATGTCGATAAAATGCGAGTTGGTGTGTTTGGGAAGGTAACGTTTTCCTCTGCTTCCTCTGTGCTCTTTCAGTTGGCTGATGTGGCTCAGCAGCTGAGCTAAATCCTGATTTATTGAATATGTCAGTGGTGACTTTTTTATTATTATTTATTTTTGAGTTAGACTGCTTCTTGCTGAGAGATATTAAAGATGAAAGCTTTCATTTTATCAATGTATTTGTCAATTTTTTTCTTAAATTAACTCGCAACTGTAGAAAGTGACTATTTGTCTGAAAAATGTTGTCAGATAATTAATTATTTTTCCCCTTGCAAACTTCCATTTAATTTTCCTCTTTTCCCTCAAGACCTATCAGAATGTGGGTAGACCTAGCTCACGTCTTACAAATATACAACAACAATATTGATTTCCGAGGCTGATTCGCACCAGAGTGTGCGCCCGGCTGGGAAACTGTAAAGTACACACAGTTTGAAATGAGAATGGGACTGTGAGTAGGAATTGGTTATTGTGGGAGGTAGAGGCTCAGAGTGGGCGAAGAGAGCTGTACGTACAGCAGCATCTCTGCAGGGAATTGTTAACAGGCTGGCAGCAGACGCTGAAATTGTGATGTCCATTTTAAATAAAGACAGACAGGAGTGGTGTTTTGGAGAAGGAACATCTGATCAGACCACAGGCGTAGTGTGGGAGGAAAAGCAGCAAGCTCGTGGGCATGCCATGTGCTGGCCTGCAGGAGGGTGCCATGAGTGTAGGGCTCATCTCCAGCCACAGCTGCTGAAGCCAGGGAGATGTCCATGTTTTCATGTTTTGGAGATTTTTTCAGGAAAAGTTATTAAGAGCTCTATAGTGGTTGAGAGTTTGCTGCAAGGTCTCAGCTGCCCTGTTTCTGTACCCAAAAGCAGCAGGACCTCACAGCAGGACCTCTGACGCCCCTGCCCGGTTTGTGTTCCAGGATTATGGTGGCTACCTGAGCATTTACATGCTTCCCGCTGGTGAAGAGAACCAGGTGTTTGCCTGTGGAGCTGCTCTTTCCCCACTGACAGACTTCAGACTATATGGTAAACCCCATTCCAGAGCCCACAGACCCTCTTGCTGACCACAAATGATGTTCCTACCCTAATCTTTCCCAGTTATCTTCTCTTTCTTCCCCAAGATCCTGTCTGGTTTGTACTGTGTCTTCTTAGGACTAGCTATAAACTCTTCTTTCCCCCACTCAAGAGCAATTTTACTGACACTAGTGGGACCAGCCATGGTGGTCAGAGTAATAGAGTAACTTTTATTACTCAGTCCTTTTTAAATAAAAAAGAATTGGCTCTAAACCTCTCTAGCCTCTGACACCAACCTGCACCACTACCTTGAACATGCTGCTTTCTTGCCTGAACCACCCATCTGTGGGAGCTGTGCTCCAGCCTGCCCAACTTGTCCTCCTCTGACAGCACTACTCCACTGCACATGGTGGTCCTCTCTCTCAGGACTAGTTCCCTCTGCACTTAGATTGCCATGAAAATCAGTGGTGTTAAGCCAGCCTTCGTCCCATACAGTTACCTCTGAGACCAATGGGACCTTGCAGTAGACTGTTGGTGGAGATGGCCCCATGTCAAAGGAGATCAGGACAGAACATGATAGTGCTCTTCTCTCATATCTTGGTTGCAGTAAGGAGAGGAAAAACAAAAGCTCTTCCCTGACTTAGAAGCAATAAGCACGTGGTGATAATGAAAGACTGCAGTTTCATGCATATTCAGAAACTTTCAGAAATACATCTTGGATAACTGAGGCAATGTTAGAAAGATCTGTCTTAGCATTTGCAGTCTTTGACTCAGCAGCACCAGTGTACTCACTTATGACTGAAAGATGTTTTCTCTTTTTCTTTTCAAGCTTCAGCATTTTCTGAGAGATACTTGGGCTTGCATGGGATTGATAACAGAGCATATGAGGTAACTGCACAGACACTGCGTTTTCCTGATAAAACATGAACAGGGTTTTAACTCTTCATCAGTATGTTCTCTTTTGGAGAGGAAAAAAAAAGGATATGCAATATGGACCCACTAGTAAAACTCTGTATTTGAAAAGCAGCAAGGTGTCCTTCAGCCTGTTTACTGCTTTTGCTGTCTTAACAGTAGCAATGGATGTATTTATTGATTAGGCTTCATGTCTGCCTCTCTAAATTGGGTAAATGCAGTTATTCCAGTTTTACAGATTGGAAGAGCTGAGGCTGAGTGACTCAGATGTGCCCAAGAGGACAATGTCATGACCTCCTTTAAAGTTCATCCCAATGATCTTGCCACTTTGATTGTCTCTGGGGTATCATTTTTGACCCTAAGTCAAGTGAAGCTCAGCTTCCCTTGGCTTTTTCAATTTAAGCACAGATGTGGTATTTAGGTAGGCAGAACTCTGTGCCAGAGCTGAGTAAGATGTGGATAAGGAGACATAGAACCAGTTAACAGAGATGTTTAGTGTGTATGATGGGACCAGTTGGTTCATGTCACAAACAAAATTTGCTACACAGGAAACATTATTAAGCCTACTAAACCTTGTCTTCATCTAGAAGACACGAAGGCAGCAAACGTTTGAAACTGTTTTCTTAGAGAGAAGGCAGGTAGCACCCTCTACCCCTACAGGAGAAGCTTTCCCTGGCTACCTAAATATTGAGTTCATCATCTCTCAGATTTTGCACTCATGATCTCTAGATCACTGCAAACACTTTCAGTCCTTTAAGGAATTTGAAGGCAGGTTGGTAGAGGTGAAAACAAGGGAAGATATTCCAGAAGTGAGAGCTTTGTACTGCCGTGTGCTCTTTCTGCATTGAAAAGCTGGCCTAAGCAACTAGTGGTACTTTTGGTTGACGTGGAATTATCTGCTAGGGACAGCTGCTGTGCCCTCTGCAGAGCACAGCACTGTTCTGGGTACAGACCCCAAGTGATACACAGCCCCTAGACAGCACAGCTGAACCATGAATTGCTCACAGAGAAGAACTATTCCTGACCCGTGGACCAGACATGAACTTAATGAAGGTCGCATTATTCAAGGCTTGATATAGACTCCAGAGAAGCCGTATTATCCTGTGGTAGGCTACAACTGAGGGAGCAGAAAACGGAGACATATAGAGGGAGTACAGAGTGCAAGATACGTGCATACACCATCACTAACATTGCAGCCAGCAATCTGAGGATGAGAGAACTCATTAAGTCCAATAATAGAATGAAGATCAGAGGACACCCTTGCAAAATTTTCACTAAGTCCATAGAGTATGGAGCTCCAAGAAAACCAGAAGCCATGAGTTGACCAAAATTTCCAAAAACCGACCTCTAGCACCAAGCAAATATGAAGGGCCACTTCTAATCGTGAGGGTTGCTTTATCTTTCAATAGAGAAAAGACAGATGTAATCTGTAGTGTAAAATTAGTGACCATAACATCCATGTTTGCAGCCAGCTAACTTAACCTCCACAGCCAAGCATGGAAGGTCCCACTGCTGTTGGACATGCACTTGTGGAAAGCACATAAGACAGTGGGAGAGGAAAACAGGTCAAAGATAGGATTGATACAAGGGTGTCTTAATGAGAAATGCATTAACTCCTGAAAGTTTAGCAGAGCTAGGGGATGTGCATTTAAACAATGAAGGACACATGAACTGAAGCTGAGACAGCCATTCTTCCCTGCCTCCCTATAAGGCAGTAACAGCTGTGATTTGAGGCATTCTTCTGCTGACCACCAATCCCAACAGGAAAGATATTATCATTAATGGGCAACACACAAACCAGATCCCTCCCTCTGGTCTTAAATCATATGCAAGATGGCCAACCACTGGAAGAATGAAAAGATTTATAAATTTATTCACAGTGCTGCATGAAGTGCATGTAGGAGCAAATTGACCAAGGACCTAGGTGACCAGTCCAATTAATGATACCATTGTTCCTTCCTCTGCTCCCAGCTGTACTGATGTCCCACCATCCATGAGACCCCTGCCTGAAACAAGCAGTTTAAACAAACTGGGCAGAGCCAGCTTTTATGCTGTTAACTTGGAGGTGGGACACCTGATGTTAATGCTGAAGGCAGGGGCACCTGGTGGTGATCTCCTAATTGGTTCCCACCCAAGGCTGGCCAGACCCCGGGAGAAAACCAATCAGGAGGGTCTTTCTTGCCTGGTTGTGGACATCATCCACATGTCAACCCTCATTCAGGGCTGGGGGTTGAAACTCCAGCACTTCAGATGTACATTCCTTTTGCTACTCCAAGGCTTTTTTGGAGTCTTTTGGAGTCTCCTTTTGACTTGTATTCTTCTGAACAATGCAGCAAAAAAGTGAAGTTTTTCATTTCTCATACCCAGTACCATTTGCAGTCACTCAGATTTGTATTTCCCCTGTTCATCTGAAATACTGTTGGGGACAAGACATTCTCAGCAGTGGACACTTGGATTTAGTATCAGATCCTCCCCAGGGTTGTCAAAGCTCACGAGGTTAGCTTTCAAAGCATACCAAAGTTGCTCCATCTCCCTGAAGAGCTCTGAGGCATAGGCGCCTGGCCACACTGTTCATCAGTGTTTTGTATTCACTGGAAATTCCCTTTGACATTTTCCACGTGTTTCGCAGTTCAGACTTTTGGTGGATATTATCAGAAGAGATGAGGGTCTCTGGCCTCTTTCCTCTGCTGATAGTGAGCCCAGAAGGACAGAGTGGGGGTCTATTTTACCACCAGACTGATTCAAGTAGCCAAGAGAATACACTGTGCTGGTGTCTGCTTGTTATCCTTGTGATGAAGTATCAAATGGAATTGTTTCTATTTTCTCCATGTAAACTGCTAGTTTCTAGCAAGATTTTAATCTTATTGCAACCTTTACCTTCACAGATCACCAGATTAATGCACAGAGTCTCATTACTGAAGGAACAGACATTTTTGATCATTCATGCTACTGCTGATGGTAAGTTAGCCCATCATTTGAGCTCATTATATGTTTGAGGTGGCTTTGATTTTTCTTAATTAAATTTGCCTCTTTAATGATTGTAATTTGTTTTTACAGAAAAAATCCATTTTCAGCATACTGCGGACCTTATCACACACCTAATTAGGGTAAAGGCTAATTACAGCTTGCAGGTACAGTATGTGTTTTCTTTTTTTCATATTTGAACAGTTTGAACTCAAACTGGTGTGATGAAGCAAGCTTTTAAAAGCCACTTGCAAACACAGCCTGGCAGCAGAAATAGCACCAGCATATAATGTGTCCTGTGTACTCCCCTGCTCATTTGATACCCCTGTTTTGGTTTAGATAGTTGTAGAACAGTTATTAAATTACAGACTTACCTCTAAGCAATTGATGCCTGTTGGCTTTCTCTGGGAACAACAGACCAAGTTCAAGATGAATTATAGGGAAACAGGGATCTAAATTAAATCAACCAGAAAAGTTAAGGAGAGAAATGTCACTTGAATCTGACATCCCACTGCAAACTACATACTCTGGTCTAGAGAGACCCTCCTTCCACTGAATTACATGTCTGGTTTGCTGAATGACCCATATCCAAGCTGTCAAAGCTTCCAAAATGAACCCATCCAGCAGCCATTGGGATAGTCCCTACCCTTTGGTACATCCCAAGCCACAGCCAGGAGAGTGCAACAATCCCAGGCTCAGTCCCAGAGGGACCTCCTATTCCACTGGAAGGAGTATAGGAACATTGCCAGAGCATGTAGAGCTGCAATGAGGAATGCTAAGGCACTCTTGGAATTAAATCTGACAAATGATGTAAAAGATATCAAGAAGGACTTCTTCAAACATATCAGTAGCAAAACAAAGACTAGGGAGAGTGTGGGCCTGCTGCTGAATGATGTGGGTGTCCGGGTGACAAAAGATACAGAGAAGGCAGAGGTACCAAATGCCTTCTTTGCTTCGTTCGTACTGCTGAGACCAGCCCTCAGGAATCTCAGTCCCTTGAGGTAAGAGAGAAAGTCTTCAGGAAAGAAGAGTCGTCAGGTTAGCTGTTGACCTGCTGGAAAGCAGCTCCTGCTGGAAAGCAGCTCCACAGAGAATGACCTGGGAGTCCTGGGGGACAATAAGTTAACCATGAGCCAGCAGTGTGCTTTTGTGGCCAAGAAGACCAATGGTATCCCAGGGTACATTAAGAAGAGTGTGGCCAGTATGCTGAGGGAGGTTCTCCCCCCCCATCCACTCTCTCCTAGTGAGGCCACATCTGGAGTATTGTGTTCAGTTCTGGGCTCCCCAGTTCAAGAGAGACAGAGAAAGAAATTGGAGAGAGTCCAGTGGAGTGCTACAAAGATGATGAGGGGACTGAAGCATCTCTCTTATGATGATGAGGAAAGGCTGAGAGACCTGGGGCTGTTTAGCTGGGAGGAGACTGAGAGGGGATCTTACCAGTGCTTATCAATATCTAAAGGGTGGGTGTCAAGAGGATGAGACCAGTCTCTTTTCAGTGGTGCCCAGAGACAGGACAAGGGGCAACAGACACAAACAGCAAAACAGGAAGTTCCACCTTAACATCAGGGAAAATTCCTTGGCTGTGAGGGAGCACTGGAACAGGCTGCCCAGAGAAGCTGTGGAGTCTCCTTCTCTGGAGACCTTCAAAACCCACTTGGACACATTCCTATGCAAGCTGATCTAGGCAAACCTGCTTGGGCAGGGGGCTTGGACCAGATGATCTCCAGAGGTCTCTTCCAACCCCTGGCATTCTGTGATTCTGTGACCATGCTACAGCTCCCAGTATAGGTGGTTGTGTTGCGGTGCCCAAGTCCTGCTAGCACTTGATTTACTGAATACCAGCTCCCTCTGGCTGCGTTTCTGCAGAGCTTCACCTGATGGCTATGCTCACTCCGTCAGGCAGGTGGGGTGGAGCACAGACATCGGAGCTAAGCAATGGGCCTGGCACAGAAGTAGTCAGCATTACTGTGACTGAGGTGCCCCTGTCCATGTCCCAGTGCAGAAGCATTAGCACACTGACACTTGAACGCACCAATGGCCTTGATGCACATCAAAAGTTAGTTAAGGACTGAATGGAGGGCTGGGGGATCTTCATTTTGGATTGAGGTACTCACAGCAGCCGTGAGACATCTCAGATCTATCTGCAAGCATCTAGCCTAGAAACTTCAATATGCCAGTCTAGACAGCCTGTTATGATCCTCGTGCTTTCCTTCAACATGTGCAGAAATTACCTGTCCCACTTAAATGGAAAGTTGTGTTTAACCTATTTCATTCCCAGCTTCCCACATTCTTTCTGTTTAGTTACTTCTCCAGTGAGCTTTATTTCCACTTAATGTCATTTTTTCCTTTAAAGCCTTCATTTCAGTTGGTAAATCCTGTTGCCATTTCTCTCCACAGACTTGCACTTTTTGTTTTTTTTCACTTTTCACAAGGAGCAAGCACTGTTATTTGTTAAGTGTAGTCTGGCTCTGCTTAGCCTGAACTTGTTCAGAATGGGATTAAATAGAAAACCCTTCCTCAAGGTCCTTTTCAAGGAAGACACGAGTCTGCACTCAGAGCACTGTGGTGCCTGAATTACCCTGGGGCTTGTGTATTTATGGGAAGACACATGGTGCTGAGCAGAAACAGTGGGTTTGCAGGCCAGCTGGAGCTGCAGATATGGCTGGTCAGGCCTGAAGCTTTAAGCTCCTAACAGTATTTGCCTGTTTCTTTGCAGATTTACCCCGATGAAAGCCATTACTTCAGCAGTGCAGCACTGGAGCAGCATTTGTACAACTCCATCGTCAACTTCTTTGCATCCTGTTTCCAAGTTCAGGACAAACTGCCGATAGCCCCACTGAAAGAGGAGGAGGATGATGATTAACCCTACTTGTCCGTGCTAAGCACAAGGCAGATCTCTCTAACAATATGCAACTGGATCGTTTTCCTGAAGAAAGAGATGTTACATTGTTAGCATGTGTTTAAAGAAAACTGAAAGCAGCTCATCTGCTTTACTTGACAGCAACTCCTTCCTAAATGGAAGAACATTAAGCATGGGGAACTCAGCAGAAACTGCTGTCTGAAATTAATCCATCACAACCAACATGGTCTTTGTCTCTGTTTTTATCTTTTCCCTTTTTATTTCCCTTTCTTTTTTTTGTTTGCCACAAAGTGACTTCTAGCATGAAAGTGGTAAGACAATGAACTTGAAGGAACACCCCAAGAAACCGCTTTGGAGACTGGAAGATTTAATGTCTTTGCATTCAAGCAATCGAGCAGTATCAGTGAAATCCACCACCCATATTAAGGTTACTATAGTTATCATCACACTGTGTCAGAAAAAATTCTAACCTAATACGTGGAAAAGATTATAGCACAATTATTTTAAAGGATACGGATTCATACATATTTGCCTCCTCTTTCCCATGTTCAGAAGGTTTGTCATTGCTACAGGACATGAAAATTCAATTGTATGAAATATTGCTATAGTTACACCAATCTTTACCTTCGTGTCATTATTTCTTAGTTTTATATAGCTTTTACTTCTGTTTTCATTGGTGTCATGCTTGTGTTATTAGCTTCTCAGCTTGATTCGGGATGGGGAAAAAACATACTCTGAATTTACCAACTTACTTTAGATCTTAAGGGTCTAAAGAGTCAAGGTACAGAGACATGAAAAAATCTGTTAGGATAAAGTGAAGGAAAAATCTCACTCTCATGTTTCTGGTGTAGCCTTTGCGTGCAAGATTGAGTATTTTCTTTGGCAGCCTTGAAAAATATGCACATAAATAAGCTAAATCAGCTTAACATTGAGGTATTTTTAGTGTACTATAGAAAAATATGTGATGGTCAGGATTATTCTTTCTCTTTTTTGTGTTGGAACAATTGGTTGGCAACCTGTTGGGGAACGGCTAGATGAGGTTATGGTAGCAGGGATTTGTACCAGACACTTCACAAATCATCTCATAAAGCCATTTAAACAGAACTGACGTGCAGAGATTTATTGCACATGCTGTCTGTGGCTTAATTTTATTCCAGGTCAATGATTAGCACATTCCAAACATGTTTAATTTTCTCTTCTGCTCACACGAGGTTTTGCCAAACTTTAAAAAAAAAAAAAAAGAGTATTTTTGCTTTAAAATCTACACCACTTTATTATGGCAGTACAAAGCAACTTTGAAAACTTCTTGTGAAAATATTCAACTCTCAGAAAGAAATCCAGCCTTCATTCACTTCCACTGATTGCATCATGAGAATTTTAACTAGTGTCGCTCCTTGTAAAATATTCTGACCAAATGTACAGCCAGTATCAATACTGTATATTTCATTTTGTTGTATATAAAGGAATGTAAGTCAGTTATTTGTCAGGTCCCCAAGCCAATATTAGTCTTGTGTTCGACATGCATGCGATAACACTTCTTTGCTGATCAGGACTCTTTAGACGTACTAGCTTGGAAATATAACAGTCAATGTAATTTTTTCCCTTAGTTTTGACAGCTTGAATATCAATGACAGTTTCTATTTTTTACATAGTACTGTGGGTAACCTCCCATCCTGACAGCAATGATGATGTTCCCATTGTGTTCTTCAGTGTGTCCTTTTTTATTATCTTTATTTTAAGCTTTGAATGTTGGTTGTACTTTGACCATCATGAAAAATATATTGATAAACCACAGAAATAACCTGGTTTGGTTTTAATTATATTCTTTAATTTACAGTGCATCGACATTGTGTGAACAAGAACTACGGTATAAATCTGCTTTATCTGGCAAAATGCCAAATAGACAATAAGAATGCTGCGTGTCCAGATTTTGCTACACTGAACAGGCTCAAAAGCCTGAAATGAACTTGACCTGAGAAATGTAAAAAAAAAAAAAAAATCTGCTCTGTCCACAATCTTTTGTAGAAAGAATTTTAGGATGTGGCATGGTAGTGTTTGTTCATTCATGGAATAAAACATTATTTTACCACCCTGGTTGCTACTGCTGTTATTTAGTGTTAAGTACTTAAATAGGCATCAAGGTGCCGTAAGTGCTGTTCCTGGTTGAACTGAGCTGGAACTCCAGGGTGCAGATGAGAAAAATGAAAACAAGTCTTTATAAATAATTACACATTGCCATTTAGTCTGCCTGTAACCTTGGTAAATGGTGTCACCATGGTAAATCGTTACTGCTTTTTGAGGTGTCGTAGTTTAACCCCAGCCAGCAGCTAAGCCCACAGCCACAACTGCTCACTCCCCCACCATGGGATGGAGGAGAGAATGGGAGAGGTAAAAGTGAGAAAACTCCTCGTGGGTTGAGATAAAAACAGCTGATGAGGTAAAGCAAAAGCTGTGCACACAAGCAAATCAAAAAGCAGATGTTGAGCCATCTCCAGGACAGCAGGGCTCCTCCACTCAGAGCAGTGACTTGGGAAGATAGATGTCATTACTCCACGTCACCCCCTCCCTCCCCCTTCTCCCAGCTTTATATGCTGAGCATGACATCATATGGTGTGGAACATCCCTTTGGTCAGTTGGGGTCAGCTGTCCCAGCTGTGTCCTCTCCCAGGTTCTCGTGCACCCCCAGGTAGCAGTTCATGAGAAGAACACCATCACCCTCTAATTTTTAGTAAAAATGCACCTTTCCTACCTTTCTGCATTTTGACCCATCCCGAGGTCATCAACCAGGCATGACAGCTTGACCAAAGGGATTTTTGATATTTCATCCATTGTCCCTTTGCCCCAAAGTCACTTTTGGGAGAACAAAACCACTAAAACATACTATGTCTGCCACAGCAGATTTTTTTCTGCAGATGATTCTCATTGGGAAGAAGAAAGGAGTTCATCCCACCTAAATTCAGACATTTCTTTCCTTTTAAGCCAAGAGAAGAGCCATATACCTGCCAAGGCCATTCTCAGACATTGGCCTCAAATAAGCAGCAACTATTCCATGTGCCCATTTTTGCTCTGGTGGCTTCAAGGATGAGACCAACTATCCCAGACTGAAACAGCTGGGCCAAAAGGTCAAGCCATCCCTAGATGTCACCTGTAGCAGCACTTTGTGGACTGCAAGGTCAGCTAGAGTTTCCTACACTTTCTTTACACCTGGAAAGGGAATCCATTCCTTTCATAGGTTTCCTGGGAAAAGTGACATTTTTGCTCAAATTAGAAATCCTAATTATGACCGTACCCTACGATACATAGTCCTCTTTGTCTCAAGCAATAACTTCAGCTAAGATTTAAGTCTGCACAAAAATCCACGTCTTTTAGGTCTAATAAAGACATGAAAGACCTTTTATGCCCAAAAGACTAAATCATGTAGCAAGTCTGTGAGGCTAAGCCACCTGGACATACAGAATGACAAGGATTATTTCCAGTGGCACTGCTGCACCTCAGTGTCCAGGGTGATGTCCCATCATCTGATACCAACTTGACTGAACCGGAATCACAAGAAGAGAAATTTAGTATTTCACAGCAAAACCAAGAAACTATTACGGAATCTACTACTCTAAGCTTTGTTGCCAGCAAATCAGGAAACAAGGAGCCTGAGCGCTGGTACAGGGCAGGCAGATTGCACTAGTTCAAAGGAGCTCTGATGGTCCTGGTAGAGTTGCTCTTGCTTTTTCTCTCATGCTCTTGTTGTCTCTCCACAGCTCACTCACATTGGCAGCAGTAAGGCACTGGATGTTCTAACTTTGCATATCAAGTCATAGGGCACATCCACCCTGCAGTCCTTCCTGGGGCTGCAGTGAAGCTGCCAGACATGCTCTAGTGAGGGCTGGGGTGAGGACACTTTATTCTTTGCTCTGGGTAAATCCTGACTCCACTGGGTGCCTCATTCCTCCTTGGACTTCTTATCTGCTTTCCATTTGAAAAAAGAAAACAAAGAGAAGGCAAAAATGGAAATGGTAACAGAAAAAGCTCAAGATCGCAGTTCCCAATTCCTTAATTGTGGCCTCTTACTGAGCCAGCTGTTTCTTGTTTTTGTTTTGCTCTCCCAACTTGAGCTCCAGGCTGAAGGCTCAGAGCACAGCTAAGGGCACTTGCTAAGGCCAGTCGCCTCACTGAGAATCATAGAATGTTTTGGGTTGGAAAGGACCGTTAAAGGTCATCTAGTCCAACCCTCCTGCAGTGAGCAGGAACACCTTTAACTACATGTTTTTCAGAGCCCTGTCCAGCCTGACCTCTAATGTTTCCAGGGATGGAGCCTGTAGCACCTCTCTGGGAAGCCTGTTCCAGTGTTTCACCACCCTAATTGTAAACAATATCTTCCTTATGGATAGTCTAAATCTACCCTCTTAGTTTAAAACCATTACCCCTTGTCCCAGTTCGTTTTTCTGCCTTCTCCCCGTTCAGTGTGGTTACAGTCTAAAAGCAAACCCAGCATGCCCTTGGAAACTAGGAAAAGAAATATAAAAGCAGCATGGTGAGCCCTCCCAATAAGCCATAAGCAATAAATTCTTTATTCTAGCAGATAATCCCTGCTTGGCCAGCACCCTTTGCTTGGTGCTTATTCTGTTGCTGTGAAGGAATAAGGAAGAGAAGGTCTGACATGATAAATTATTTGATCTCCCTATTGCACCAGGACACTGGCTATGAAGGTGTGCTGATCTGGCTCTTCCCACTCCCATCATCCAGCCTGATCCTCTTTAAACCTGTGGTGGGTGCAGAACCAGGAAGCTCACAGAAGGGAGGGAGCATTTGAAGAGGAAATGTGAAAGCACATAAATAAACCATGCTCCATATTCCTGGGGAATAACAAGGTTCCCTCCAGG